GGTTATACATTTATAAAAAGTATACAACACATAGACATTTGTGTAGTTGTATACGATCTCAATCCTTACCTTCTTCCCAAGGTTAGATATGTATATTACACACATAAATATATGTTATAATCTACATATATATTGAAGTCCTATCATTTGTAACATAGTTGTCCATTTCAACCAACAAGATTAGTCTCTGAGCAAAGTAATTTCTTGAAAGAGTGAAATAGGGGCGCCTGGGTGGCGCAGTCGGTTAAGTGTCCGACTTCAGCCAGGTCACGATCTCGCGGTCCGTGAGTTCGAGCCCCGCGTCAGGCTCTGGGCTGATGGCTCAGAGCCTGGAGCCTGTTTCCGATTCTGTGTCTCCCTCTCTCTCTGCCCCTCCCCCATTCATGCTCTGTCTCTCTCTGTCCCAAAAATAAATAAAAACGTTGAAAAAAAAATTAAAAAAAAAAGAGTGAAATAATCAAATTAAACTTTAGATAAAATTTTATTACTCCTCGAGCAACAGAAAAATCACCAAAAAAAAAAGCTGAGAACTGTATCTTTTATATCCATGATACCATTCTTTTTCTATACTAAGTTGGCTGAAGCACTTCTCAGAATTGCCACTTCAATAACTTGTACATGGGACTATTCGTTGCCTTACTTTTCTGAGCAGGAACAGGTTTGAAGTTTTCCTTCCCTCAAGTCAGTGTATAGGCAGCCCTGATGCTAAGCACATCCTTCTGACCTCCCTCCTGTCTTCTCACCTCACTCCTTAATCATCCCAGATCCAGGACTTCGCTCTCACATCTGTCCGGTGCCTGGTCAGAATAGCATCTAAGGTAATAAGGCAGGAGGAGAAGGGAAGGAGGAACAGAGAATTCAATGCCAAGTAAGCTTCCAGTTAGCCTTCTCACACTTCCTCAGAAATACCATTACCTCACATTGGCCTCAAGTGCCCTCGTATTCTTAGCCCAGGGTTTCTGTGCCAGTATAAGAACAGTCTTCCTTTGAGAAACTTAAACACCCACTTAAGAAACATTGGCTTGCTTATTTATTAATTACCGAATTGAATCCCACCAATGACCTGCCCATCATTGTGCCAGTTACTGGGGAAACAAAGATGCAGTGGTCTAGATTGCCTTCTTAAATGCAAGGTTAAAACCCACTGTGGATGCATAGTCATCACCACCAGAGGAGATTTCTGCCAATCCCCACCAGGTCTCAGTGACAGAAGGAGAGAGATGGGCTTTTCCACACAGGGAGAAGGTCCCAGGAACACCAGCCTCAGTTCTAAAAGAGCTGTGGAGGAATTAGGCAGGATTTTAGGAAAAATAGAAAATGTAGTAGTAAAATGAAAAGATCCATTTACATTACTCACATAATAATAAAAACAAGGGACAACATTTTTGGATACTTCCAAAATTTCCCATTTTTATTTTCAACAAATGGGAAATTCATAGGGTTTTCTATCCCTTAGCCCAAGGCTATCCCCCTTGGCCTCAGCTGACTCTCCTTTCAGCGATGCCCTTTCTAGTCTCCTGACTCTATTCTTTTTCTCTCTTCTTCCCAAGCATCGCTCCACTTCTCTTGTGAAGATGCAATGAGGCCAAGAATGAAACTAACCTCCCCCCTGTTTTCGCCAACCCCAAAGACAAATGCACAGATCTTGTTACAAGAGATTTCAAGAGATAAACAAAAACCCACAAAAAAAAACTAGAATTGGAAAGTAATAGAAGTTCCAGAATTTCTTTTTTTTTTTTTTAATGTTTTATTTATTTTTGAGACAGGGAGAGACAGAGCATGAACAGGGGAGGGTCAGAGAGAGAGAGACACAGAATCTGAAACAGGCTCCAGGCTCTGGGCTGTCAGCACAGAGCCCGACGCGGGGCCCGAACTCAGGGACCACGAGATCATGACCTGAGCTGAAGTCGGCCGCTTAACCGACTGAGCCACCCAGGCGCCCCTAGAATTTCAAAAGTAAATTCTATATGGCCTTCCTTGCCTCATAATTTACACTCTCAGAATTCCTGGACCTGATTTGTATAAATTGTGTGTGAAAGGAAAGGTGGGCATGCACTGCCCCTCCCCTAAACTTCTACTGCGTGTAGAGTTCCCCACATGATAATGAGCAAATTCTCCACAAGTATTAGCTATTATTTTTTGTTTATGATTTTAATATAGAGTAGCTACTGAAATAGTGACAGCCAGAATTTTATTGTGTTCTTCATCCTAACATACATGGCAAGTAGGCCGTTGATGTATTCCAATTTCAACAGTGTTCTCCGTTCTGAGAGTAGGGAGTCTTTACCCCTGGGTACCATCCCTGTTCTTATCCCTCACCTCCTTGAACTAAAAACAAGTATTTTTCAGAAACTTTTGTGCACAACGCACTCACATAGGACACTAGCAGCATTGGCGCAAAAGCAAGAAGAAAAAAGGAAGAAGATAAAGGAAATTGGAAAGGGAGGTGCAGAATAAAACTGAAGAAAAGAAAAAGAGAGGGAGAATGCAGTGTGGAGAAGTTGAAAGTTCTCCTGGGCAGTGCCTCCAGGATCTCTCAGTGGAAGGAGAACCATTGGAAGTGCAGCCTCAGATGTCCCTGAAATCCTCTGTCTACCTTTAAACATTTTGCCCCTTTTTGTTGTTTTGGGGTTGGCAGTGTTTTATACAAATTTGTATTAGTTGCCAATTTTTAAGAATCAGAAGATTTCACATAAAAATCTTAGATTTTTTACTCCACTTTAAATATTAGATCTGGCAACATTGGGCCCATGGTAACCGTTAGTTGAAAAGTAGGTGCTCTCTTTAGATGGGCAATGCATTCTCCAGTCTGCCACAGACCATACAACTTCCCATTTTATTGTGCACAGGACACCATATTCATTTACAATATCTGCCCGACTTCTGAAAACAGTTGGATTTTTAACCCTTGGACTGAATGAGGCATATGATTCCTCCTAGGATTAAAACTAGCAATCTACAGGGTTCCTGGGTGGCTCAGTCAGCTAAGTGTCTGACTCTTGGTTTCAGCTCAGGTCATGATCTCACGGTTTGAGTTCGAGCCCCACATTGGGCTTTGAGCTAACAATACAGAGCCTTCTTGGGATTCTCTCTCTCCTTCTCTCTCTGCCCCTCCCCTGCTCGTCCCCTGTTTCTCTCACAAAATAAATAAATAAACCTAAAAAATTTTTAAAAATAACAGTCTACTAAATATGAAAAACCTGAGATTAGCAGCCTAGAGTTATCCAATATCCACAACATCCAGTCCATTGTGGCCCCCTGACATGTCAATTATTTGTCCAACAATTATTTGTTAAACACCTCCCAAATAACTGCCACTAGTCTAGGGCATGGATGACAAGATCTCCATCCTTAAGAAAGAGCAGTCTGATGATAAGCAAATAAATATCGAAGATAGTTCAATTTCTTAAAAATGTTACCTAGAACAAGTAGAGTGAGGGTTGTATTGACATCTAGGACTGCCATAACAAAATACCACAGGCTGGGTGGCTTAAAAAACAAAACTTTATTTTGTCACAGTTCTGGCGGCTGGAAGTGCAGGATCAA